TTTCTCCAATATTTAATTTAACAAAAAAAATGTTATTTTGAATTTAAGCTTTAGAAATAATTAAATTGTCATAAAAAGAAATTATTTTAAATTATAAAAAATTAAAAATAATTTCTGTATAAATTATTTAAGATGAGAATTAAGTTGTTTAAAAATAATTAAATAATGAAAAAATTATTTTCCACTGAATTTTATATTTGACATTTTTTTATCCACGTTTTTATTTAGACTTGCCGTGTTGCCTATAAGTATGTGTTCGAAATAAATCTTGTAATCGATTTTAAGCTTACTTCATGACTTCTCGGAAATTTGAAAATTTTTACCATGACTCCAAACCCGAAGAAAACGCATCACTTGAATACATATTCATACATATACTCCAGATTTATGAAATGCAATGAATATGTAATATATATGTCATTATATATTGTTTAATATGTATTAAAAGCAAATCTGCTCGTGCGGGGGCACTTAATCTTTTAAGCATTGTTATCAATGCCAATCAACTGAAATTTTACTGAAACATGTGACGTTAAAATGACGTTTTCCATACCAATTGTTTGTACGAGAAGATGACGTTTTAACGTCAGTCAACAAAAAAATATTTATATACATATTCATTAGAAAAATTAAATACATTTTGCCAATATAACAAAATTTATATAACAAAAATATAATCAGAACATATTTTTTGTTATATTTTAGAAATGACAAAAAAAATAAAATAAAATAAAATAAAATGAAATAAAGAGGAAACATTTAGTTTAAGAACAAATGAATGGGTTTTAATTATTTTCATGTTGTTTTTTTTTTGTGTCGTGTTCAAAATATTGTTCTTTAATTTTTTTTTGGCGAAAAACCAATTTCACCCAAATATTGAACACAGAAAATTATGTATAACAAGTATGTATGTACATAAATGGATACTGTTATAGTTATAATGTTAATAATGAATTTGTTTGAATTTAACCTTAAAAAGACGGCATTTTAGGTAAACATATAAATTCGTATAGGTGCTCAATTATTGTATATGAAAACACTTTAGGCTATTTTAAGTATTGATGACAATAAAATAGCCATTTTTATTCATATATATATTGATGCGTCAAACACGTCCAATTTTAATTGATATTTTTTCGTCAATATTTAATACTTTGAAATTTGTTTTGGAATCATCCTATTTATAATTATAAATTTTAAAGTAGCTGATGTATTGGTATGTACGTTCAACGTCACGATTACGTAAAATATTTTGTATTGTATTTGTCTAAAATATGGGTTTGTTTATTATATAATATGAAGTCATGTTTTCCTTCAAAATAATTATATACACACTTGACGAAAATAAATTAAAATTTACATTCTGTACCCAAATATTTGATACACTTTTATCTATAGTTAAAGAGGCAACAATATTGTCAAATTTTATTTTAGAAGTTCGTTATTTTGTTCTTTATATATATTTCGGGCCTCTTCGGGCTTAAAGTATAACAAGCTGACAGTTCATTTTAAAATGAAATTCTAAATTTTAAACTTAATGTACTCGAAATATTAGGAATTCAAAAATTTCTAGATTTCTAATACACTTTCGGTGAAATATACATATTTACGTCCAAATTCAGTTTAGCATGGTGATATATGCATATATAATATAATATACACATATAAATGTACGCACACTTGATTCTCATTTCAAAAAACCAAATTTTGTTATACGGTCTAATTCCAAAATAAATAATAAAATATAAAAAAAAAATTATGTCAAATTATATTGGGTAATTTGCAAATTATTTCTTTATTTTTAAATTTTATTTATTTTACTAATAAATTGAAATTCTTATAAAGAAAGTATTTATTAGTCATTTCTTTAAAATGTTAAATAATTAAACTATTTGCATTTTTAAACATAAAATTACTAACATTAATTATCATAATGAAAAATTAAAATTAAATTATAATTAATAGATTTCTATTTTGAAATGATGAATCAATAAATTTTTAATTATACCGATTCGAGGCCAAATTTTTCAATTTAGCAAGATTTAAGATATATGTAGGAGTACTTGGTTTTTGAATAATTGCGTGTTTAAGGAATATTGCAATTACCAATATACAATATTATTGTACTGGGTATTTTTCTTCAGTAAATTGGGAATTCTTATTTAGTTTAGATTTTACTAAAAATTTTCTCAAATTTCTTATCTAAATTTAATTTTAATAATCCTAGTAAATATATTATATATACATATGTACTTAATCTAAATTACCTAGTTTGTTTTACAACATTTTACATGTTAACTGAATATAATATCTACAACGTGCTGATTACAAATTTTATCTAACAATTATGGATCTCTTTTTTTCAAGGTTGCATGTTTCCACCATAAAACAGATTTAAATTTTTTTATTACTTATGCATGCATAATTTTAAGGTCTTATCATTAGAGTGTACATTACTGTTTTATTATTTATGTAAAAATATTTGTTTTATCATTTTGAATATTTTACAATAAGCATGGTAGTAAAATTAACATTATTATTAGTTTAGTTTTATAATATTGTTTTACTTGCATCATAGATGATTCATCATAAAAATCCTTATTCTAATATAGTACATAGTTTGCTTAAACCATAGTATTAAATGAATAAATCAAGTCCCTAACAAAAAGGGAAAGTTACTTTGTATATTCTTTTTCTATTTTTGTATTCTTTGATAATATTTTTAAATTTATTTGAGAAATATAAAATTTTCGGCTCATGTTTATCAAATTTAAATTTTTAAATGATTATCATTTTGTAAATTCGGAATTTCACTTTCGAAACTGATAACAAAAAAACTGGAAATTTTCTTGCAGTTCTGTTCAAAAGCTATTATAAAAATTTGCTAAGAATTTAATTTCAAATACATAAGTATTATGTACATATTGATATTTTAGACTGCCTACAAGTAAGTCACAAAATTAAAATACTTAAGTTTTTACTTAATACTTAAGTTTAAATTAGTTAAGATCTATTGTATCCCAACAAAAATAATTTTTATCAAATATTATTATATAATATGGATTTCTCACATAATTAATTTTTTTCCGGTTTTTAATTTATATAAAAAAATCAAATAAATTTTAATAAAATTAATCTTTATTTTAAATTATTTAACCCTATACTGCGATTATATGGTTAATTAAAAGATTGTATGCATACGCAAAAATATTTCAAGTAATAAAGAAGATGACAACACAAACGTGAATTTTTATAAATAGCTACTCTGTATTACATTTATAAGATTTCCAAATTTTTACCAAATAAATTTACCTGACGCATAAAATTTTAACCCTAACCTATAAAAACTAGCAACTGTATTATAATTGAGAAAAGTAATAACGCATATTCATTTCGGTAGATGGTTTTACTAATTTATATATAGAAAATAAAACGTAAATCTTTGATATTTAAATTTATTATAATTCATTCTTAATATTACGTTGCAAGATAATTTATTGTTTACTCTCACTATTCTGTTCTCTCACTAATTTAGTAGTAATAATGATTGATCTGAAAATATCAATTGATTAAATTCTAAAAGATTATTTATTAAAAAACTGATTATCTCAATATATTTATAAAGTACTGAAAAATATTTTTAATAGATATAATATTGATAATTAATATTTTAAACAAAATATTAAAAATAAATTAATTAAAAAAAACTGCGCATTATAATTAAATAATAATAATAAAAAAAAATACTTAATAAGTAAAAAATTAAATAAATGAGTAGATATTAATTTAATAAGTTATAAAATAAATTTTATTTTCGAACAAAATAAAAATTTATATGTCTTATTACATAAAATATATAATATGTATGTATGTGGTATATAAAAAAAGAAATAAAAACAAATAGTCATAAATACCCAATTACGTAGTGTTCTTTTTTTATTTTTGTTTTTAAACTGTTATTGGCTTAAATTTTGTTTTTTTCTTTTCTGTAATTTATTTTTACCTTTTTCTATTACCACACACACACCAACATCATATATATATATATATGTAGATATTCTTAATCACACACACACATATTTATAAAATGCATGCCATAAAATTGACATTTAAATACGCTTAAATACATCGCATACACACACACACATAAATAGATGTAATTACAATACAAAAATTTACGTTTTATTTATAAAAAAAAAAAAATATAATGAAGAAAAATTGCAATAACATTATTGATTATAAAGGGAAAACAGTATTTTTCTTCTTTTTTATTCTTTTTATACATTTATTTATTTTATTTTATGTTTTATTTTTTTCATTTCAGTTTCCTTATTCCAGGTGATGGTGTGTATACATTAAAAGAAGTGAATTGAACGATTTCACCGATTTGACAATAATTCTACTTACATTTTTTTCTAATATGCTTATTTTATAATTTAATAATATTAAAAATTATTTACGTACATAACATATATAGAGAATATAACAAATATAATACGTAAATTTATATAACATATTATTATAAATAAAGAAGCTATATATTTATAACAATATAACAGTTTATATTTTATTAAAAATTAAAATATTATCATCATAAATTGTATATGTGCTGAGCTCTCTGGTAATGGAAGGAGTTGATCAATTAAAGGGATACAATAATTAAAAAAAAAAAATAAATATACTACTAGATCGTATATGTACAAGTTATAGAATAAAATAAAATAAAATATTTTCATATTATTATAAAAGATCATTTAAAAGACATCGTTTGTTCAGTTGAATTTAAATAAGTGAATAAGAGAAAATAAATTGAAATTATTATTAAAAAAAAAAAAAAAATAATTATATAAAAATAAATAAAATAAATTTTTGTAAATTAAAAAATATTTTGTTACTTTGAAATTAAAAATAAATTTCGGAATTATTGAAAAAAAATTAAAGTTATTTAAAAAAAAAATTTTTTCTGAAATAAAAATATTTAATTTAGTATATAAAAGTTAGAAAAGTCAAAAAACCGAATTCTAAACAAAAGAAGAAAAAAAAAACAACAAGTAAAATAAAAAAAATATTAAAGTGAAAATTTTGAAAGGAAATCTTATTACAACGGGTACTCAAAAGAAATTCGTTGGAAATTTTATGCAATTAAATTATAAAATGTTAAAAAGATTTTTAAATTTACATTCTAAGATTTTCATTTAGTGTTTTCTTCTCTCTATATATATATATATATAGAATTCTGTGTGAATATTTTTTAATGATATTTTATAAATAAAATTTATATATTAATGATTTGCATATTTACCTTAACCTTTACTTACCTACCTATATATTATATATGTAAATAAATAAATGGTGTAATTATAAAAAAAAAATAATTTATTACAAAACAAATTTTGTTTCGGTTTTTTATTTTGATTTTTGCGATCTGGTTTTATAAGCTGTGTTTCAACACATCCAATTTAAAAAAACAAAATTCATTCAAAATTTATAATCTAATGCTAACTGATATTACTGGAGAACAAAAATTTCAATCTTATGTATATTGGAAACTAATATCTTGACTTCGTTAATTTATACAATTATCAAATTATATCAAAAAGGCTTATATTAAAAAATATAAATGATTTATGCATATAAATGTGAGAAACTGTGATTTGAATTTCGGAAACGCTTTTTAGTCGAATTATTCAATTTAATTTTTATTTTAAACAATTAGTTTATAGTTAGAATATTTCAAAGAAAGGAAAAAACAACAAAGAAGACAGCGGGAAATCGTAAATTAAAATATATGTATAAAATAAATTAAAATAAAAATAATTAATATTAAAATTAATATAAATTAAAAAATTACTTGTACATTAGATTTCATATATTCTTAAAAAAGGGAGAACAAGCTAATAAAAACATACAAAACGGTGTTCCAAAAGATAAAACAGGTAAGAGAATTTTTATTTTTAATACTTATTCTAGTTGAATTCATTTTCTATAATTAAATTTTCGTTCATATTAACATTAATTTCAATATTTATTAAAATAATAACGCTTCAAACGGCTAAATGATTAATTAATTATAGAGTTATGATTCCAGTAATATGTATAATGAAAACTCGAATATGTATAAACCGGTTTTCCGGTTGACCTATTACTACAATATGTAACGATTGTGCAATGTTTTAGTAATGTATTCAGTTGTCGAGGTTCGTTCATTCATATAAAATCAAATATTAAGTTTTAATTTCAAATTGTTAATTGAAATATCACAATATGAACACAGTGAAAACTAATTTTTTAATTAATTAACTAACTATATTGTTACCGCTTATATTAAGTTTTTTTAAAATTTGATAAAAAATTGTAAAATATTTAAATTTAAAATTAAAAATTATTATAATTATTTTCATTTGAAGTATAAAAAATTTTTGTAGCAATGAAATTAAAAAATGTTTTTAATTTTTAATTAATTACTCAAAAATCCGAACTTTGCAGTTACACTCTTTGTCATTTAAGCGTTATTATTATGTTTAATAATCAAATTCAATTAATTTTTCATAATTCGCTTTTTCAATAATTATTTCAAAGGTTTTCTTTTTTTTTTCAAAAACACGGAACAACTTAGTATAATAATAAAATACCAAAATAATAAAATTTAATAATATTAATAAATAATTTAAAATGTAATTAGTTTAATTGAATAATTAAAATAAGTACAAATTTTTAGTTTGAATTTTTCAAATGTAAAATAAATTAATGAATCGTAAATAAGTATTAAAATCATAACATAATTTTAATTTAATAAATATTATTCTAATTAATATTCCATTATGATTATATTTAACTTTAATCAAAATAATAAATTGGAATCAACAAGCATTATTAATAATTTGGAATTCAGCCATATATGTACATAAATAATACAATTTACTGTACGAAAACAAATTGATTTCATCTTATTTGACTTTTAAGATTTCTTTAATTTAAAATATATAGGGTTTATATAAAAATACGAAGTATGAATATAAATTAATCCAAAATTTATATTGTTAAAGTACCATCGAATTTATATATTATCTACTAAATTAATATAAATCAAATTGTATGTCACATACTAAAAATATGACCATATCACATAGCTGGTCGAAAAATTAAAAATAGTAAATTTCAATGTAAAAATTGTATTATTTAAGTAATTCAATGAAGACAATGAAGGTTTTTATGAAATAGGAGACTGGAAAACTTAAAACAAAAATACTTGACGAAAATTTATACGGACGAATAAACGAACTGACAATACACTTTATTATTATTAATATTCCGGGAAAATTATTAAAAATTTTGTTGAAAATCTGCTAAATTTTGTCATATCAGGATCAATCGTGCCCCCCCTCTGAGTGCGGGGCATGCCCCACAGCAGCCGGGCGAGACCTACCCTACTGATAAACTCGTAAAAGCACCGTGTGAGGTTCGGAAGACCACAACTCCATCGCCGTGAGAGCAAAACCGAATCCTCAGTATTTCTCTTCTAATATGAACGAGCGCATCACACTCTGGCAGAAGGCGTTCTATCCTGCTTTTCATTCTGCTAACAGAATCTGCAAGTATCCAAACTTTCTATGCCTAGGCTGCTAAGGTGCACACTAAGTCTGCAGTGTCACGATCACACCCCGGTCCGGTGAAGATTCTTACCTTATTCTTTCCCGATCCTATGATCTTCTTGAAACGCTTCTGGTTATAATCTCCTAAAAGCTTTTGAGTCTGTCGCAACCCCGCAAACTCCTCCAGTGCGCCGACCATCTTCTCTCTTATTCCTTTCTTAGTTCCCATCGAATAGCCTAATAGGTGGGGTGTGTTAGCCGCTGTCCCCTCGGACGCACCAGCTGCCTCATTTCCTTCTCTTATTTCTTTCTTAGTTCCTATCGAATAGCCTAATAGGTGGGGTGTGTTAGCCGCTGTCCCCTCGGATGCGCCAGCTGCCTCATTTCCTTCTAAGCCCACATGGTCCGTCATCCAGCACATGGATGACTCGATTGCGCCCACCCAATTCTTCCGTCGCAAAAGTTATGTTCATTTACATTTCCAAAATTTAAATAAAATTTTGACTTTGACACGAGCAAACTGCATTTTCATTTAAAATGCCTACATTATCCTTCTATACTACATTAGCCTACTCCTTGACATATATATACACAACATTTTTTAAATTCTTATAGTTTTCTCCCAAATATACGATATTGTTAATCAAATTTTGATCATTTCTATTTTAATTACGCAATACACTCATTTATATTTCTATTAAAAATTGTGTATAATTGGCTAAAATAAGAAAAAATGATTAAAAAATTTTAATTTTTATTTTTTTGTCATTCCATTCTGCCCACCATGTCATTCAAAATATTTTAAAGAATTTCATCACTTATTTACCTATGAAAAAAATTTTGAATATTATTGTCAAAATTACATATATTTATGCACACTATATTTATGAATGTGTAAGTAGTCATATTATAAGGTATGTACATAACTCACACGATGAATATTTTACATTATGTAAATTTGCATATGTATAATATTTACAACCGGCATTTATTGATCACGTAAGTAAATTCGAATAATATTTACAATAATAAACTAAAAAGAGAAAAACTATTAAAAATTTTGAAAGAAAGAAATAAAAAAATCAACTTCATCATTAAAAAATTTCGAAATAAAAATTACAATTAAATTCGATTAGAACATATACATTCAAACATCTAAACCTACACATCCATAAAAAAAAATAAATAAATAATTTTTATTATAAAATGTTGCACGAATTCAAGGACGAAACATGCATAATTTTAATTATTTTCTTCCTTCTTTACAATATTTTAAAATATAAGAATGCCCACGTTTGATGAATCGATTAGTTAAAGGCGTTAAAATAAAACACAAACAGATTAGTTTAAATATTTCTGGCATTAGTACACACACAGATACGAGTACATACATATGAAATAAAAATTATTATGTGCGGAATGGCTATTTAAATGAATATTTTATGAAAATTATGGGAGGGAATCTCTCTTTATAATTTATAATTATAGAATTTAATTAAGAATAAAAATTTAAAAAAAAAAATTAAAAATCTGTAAAACCCGAACATTATCTACTTTATATAAATATTTTTAAAATTTAAAAGTTCAATTCGAATTAATTAGAATTTTTTTTTGGTTATTCTTGTTTTAGATTATTAGCCAAAATAAAAATTTTTTTATCGCCTTTATAGCATTTTTGTATGTTATTTTAATGCCCTTGTGAGAAACAAGCATTTCATAAGAATTGGCGTAAAAGTTCAGAATAAAACAAATTTTTTCGCTGAACTTTTTTGATTATTTTCTTTTCTTTTTTTAATTTTTGCATACATTTTTGTTAAAGTTTTTTGCCATGAATGTTTACATCTTAGTTAAAATAAATAAAGTTGAATCAAACCAATGGTTTGTATTGTAGCAGTTTTCCCTTAACAAGTGTAAATACTGCTTCTAAAAACAATCTATGTATACCTACTACACTATTTAAATTACATACTTTTATTCATATACCAAACTATTTAATTAAGAATTGCATATATTTAGGATGAACTATTTATACAGTCTTTGAAATAAAGCAAAAATAAATTTAAATAGGTGTTAACACAATGCTTGACTTTAAGGTTTAATTGCGTAAGTTAAGAAAAATAATTACATTTTTCAATGTCATGGGATTCACTGTGAGCTCTTTGCGTTTATAGAAATTTAAAAAACCTTGGGGTTTCGGAAATATAAGACGTCAAAAATTCAAATCTTATAAATTTCAAGAGGCGATAACTTGAGAGGGGGGTAGAAATGGAAAAAAATTGTCATCTAACGAAATGAACTTTTTGTTAGTTTCTAAAAGGTACTAAAATTTCAGCCTCCTACAGCCTTGAAGAAAAACCACATCAAAAATTTGGTAAAAAACGGACTTTAGATGACAGTAAATTTTAACGGCCATCTTGTTTTATTAAAATTTAAGTATGGTATAACGTGATGGAAGAAGCCTGCTATTATATTTCTACGTTACAAAATTTGAAAAATGCTTATAGTTTCACTGCAATAAATAGTTAAAAATGGCGTTTTTAGGATTTCAGGGTATAACTTTTAAAGGAGGGAAGGTGGGTAAAAATGTCCTTCTACGGAAATAAGTTTCTTGCAAAGATCTATATTTCTATCTTCAAGAGTGTAGAAGTTTTGTAAACACGTCCACAGACGGACAGAGTGAAACTAATAAGCACTTTTGTTTTTTAATTTTTTTTGGAAAAGTGCTTAAGAATATATAGAGAAAAACAAGCAAATAAAAAATTGCTATTTTTAACCCAATATTTCTAATTTTTTTTCTAAATTACATTTTACAATTACAACTGTATAATTTATTAATATGCTTGTATGCATGTAAAATTGTAGGATAAGATGTAAAATGGAAGAATTACAATAAAAACATATGCATATAAGTATAAATAAAGAGGTAAGGGAATAAGACTAAGAGGATTTAAGCGGCAAATGAATTGAAAAATAAAAAGAAAGCTAATTTGTTCTATAAAAAACACAAAAATGAAAACGGTAAAACGTGTAAACTAAATAGAAAATTTTAGACTATGTAGTTACATATATATATGTATGAATATATGCACAAATATGTACATATGTACAATAATACTGTGCGGTTAAAGCTACTGTACAATAATACTGTGCGGTCACTTTTCATGCTTCAAAATTGTCATATTTTATTTATAAAATAAGAAAGTTGTGTACGAAATTCCTGTTTCTTATATGGTAATCCTGTTGTATAGAAGTGAAAATTAATCTTCATATCGTGAGTTTAATGCTACAACTAGATAACTCGCAATTATTGGTTTAGAGATATGTACTTTTAAAGATTTAACAAT